TCATCTCCATCAAAACAGTGACCCAGTAACAATGTTAAAAAGTGGAAATTGTCAGTGGTGCAGCTGTTTCCTAATAAACAGCTATTACAATAGTTCCACAGTCTACTGTAGCATGAGGCTCGTTTTTTCATGAGTTCTGGTGACAGGTTAAAGCGCGTGTATAAGGTTAATCTCTGGAACATGTTTTTTTGCTCCCTAGGGGAGAATTGTATGAAGTAATGATGTGTAGTAATGGTTTGGGCGGGGACCGTGAGCAATTTAGAAGACTAATGAGAACCATGCAGTGCAGCTAAGAATGTTCCACTCTCCAGCATTGGCTTAGTTGTGTTTATCTGACCACCTAAGGATGTGATTAGGGTGTGGTTTTCAGGGAGAGATCAGATCTCCTAGTAGACCAACTGGAAAAGTTGTGGTGAGCCTTTGGTAGGTGAGTCCTGTCTGGGCTGAGCGCAGTGAGGCTAACTGAGGATGCAAGGCAGGTGCTGATGCAGTGGGCAGCTGCAGCTGGGAGGAGGCTTCCTCCTCTCTCAAGCGTTTGCTCCCTTCTGCATCCTTCTCATTGTGTCACCAGTCTCACTAAGTCTGTTTTCTGCCTTTCCAAGTTAAATCAGTTTGTAGAAGGGTCTGGCAAGCTTGCTAAGCAGCAACAACATCTGTTCAGGAGTGGAGGACAGAGATGGGAATTCTCCTTCTTGGCAGCAAGGAGATGTTAATTTTTGTGCCTTGCAGAGCTATACCTGGGTGCATGAGGTGACCTGAGAGTAAGGGTAATTGGATTTGCTAGGCACAGGAAAAAGTGCTTGCAGGAAGAAAGGTGAAAAGGCAGCAGTAGGGAGTGGAGATGAGTGACAGATGGCCACGTGTAGATGTTAGCAAGAGAGGCTGAGGAGCGAAATGCATTTTTTATTTTTATGATCAGAGAGCTTTCCATAGCAATGATGGTAGGAAGAGACCTCTGGAGGCCTCTAATCCAGCATCTTGCATGTAGGAGGATAGAAGGACTATCACTGACGCTAGATCACATCAGCACTGGCTTTTGATGAGTCTTGGAAGCTCCTCAGGCATGGGGATTCCCCCCACCCTTTCAGTGACCCTTTCTTGGCTGTTTTACTCTCACTTAACCTTTGGTTCCTACTGTCCACCGCTCCCAATCTGCAACTTAAGGCTGTTACTTTTTGCACCATGTATCACTCCTATCACAGCCTGGTGCATCATTTGCTTTTATCTGCAGTCAGGCCATGCTGCAGGCTCCTGTTCAGCCTGGTGCACCCCATGTCCTTCTCAGCAGGGCTGTTGTGCAGCCAGGGGATTCCCGGCTGGGGCTGGGGGTTACAGTGCCCAGCTGCAGGGCTTGGCACTTCTGGAAGCAGCTGGAGGTTTGCTGAGGTCTCCTGTGCCGGAGGTTCTGCCTTTTTCCGTGCTGACCTTCCCCCTAGGTAAGTGTCATCTGCAGATTGAGACAGAGGAGAGCTGCAGAGGGGGTTACATCCCTGTTGTCCCTTTGAGTGCAGATGTTCTCTGGTGGCTTTGCATCTTCCATTTCAGTAGGCGCTTGGGCTCTGAGCTGAAGTGTATCAGCCACAGGAGGAGCAGTGCAATATCTGTAGGCACATTAGCAGCGGAGGCGTGAGATCTGTATTTTCAGAACTCAGCTGGATAAGGCCATCAGGAACTTGATCTGGGCTTAGAGCTGGCCTTGTGTCCCTTCCCACCTACGTTCTTTATGGTTCTGTGTTACACAGAGTTTGTTTTGCTGCAGTGGGACTCTGCTTCTGCTGGTGAGTTTACAGTTTGTAGTAGAAAAAAAAATCTGTCCAGAAATGCACTTTATCATAGCTTCTACATCATGCTGGCGGTCATATGCATAAGAATCTTTGTTTTTTTCTCATCGCCTTTGAGATGGGAAAGAGGCAGCAGAAGGATATAATTATGGGAAAGGAGTTCAGGAAAAGAAGGGAAAGTCTTGGGCTGTTGATACAAATCGGCTCTGGAGAACTGATTATGTCTGAGGATGGCCGGTGTCCAGTTATCATCAGGCTTCAGCAAGACAGGAACAGTAAAAAGGAAAGGAGACATTAAGTCAGCATTGTGGACTGCAAGTAACCAGGCTGAGTCACTGTACCCTAGAAAAAGGATCAGAGAATCATATTTGGAAGAAAACACATAGCTGGTAAATTCAAAGACCCTGGTGGGGATTAAAGGCCAGGAGAAAAGAACAGAAAATATTACAGCACTTAATGAGATACTGCTTTCTCTCTGGAGTTGTCTGCTGCCTGAGAGACAGACTGCGATGGGAGAGCTTTTCTGCTTTGTTTGTGTAGCTACGGTGTGGCTGCTTTTCTGTCTGCTTTATTTATAGTGCAGATGTCACTGTTTTAGCCTGTCCATAAATAAATTGTATGATTGGCAAGAGATGATACAGTGGATAGACAGATTTTACTTACAGGTAACATAAACCACCTTACAAAACAGGACTAAAAACATTTTTTTGATGTTGCTTTCCTTTATTTAAAAAAAAAAAAAATAGGCAATCAGCTCTTGGTAGCAAAGATTTATGTAGCGTTCACAGTTTACTTCCTTAGCAGTCATTCATGAGAACACTCCTCTCTTCTGGAGAAATGTTGCACTAATCAAACAGCATTTTGGGTGAACTGTGTGCTATAAGGAACTGTTTCCTACCAAGGACGTGCCACAGAGCTCCCTCGTATCGCTTCCTTTATTTTTTCCATGAGCTGTTCACAGACATTTGTCACTGACTCCCTGCTGTGTCCATAGCAGTTGACATCTGGATATACCCATCCCAGAAGCTTTTTCACACAGCGTTGGTTTTTTTAGCAGGAACAAAAAATCCAAAACCCAAGATTATTCTCAGAAGTATCCTTGAGAGCTAATTACTGCCTGTTGTCCTTGTTGTTGCAGACAGCTCATTCCTTATATGAGAAGAAAGCGACAAAGTTCAAAAATGTTCTTTCTATTCCTGCTGTAGAACCTTCCAGAAGGAAGCAATTAGTGAGCTCAGTGTCCATCTCATGTGGCATGGACTGGGCCGGATTATTGATGAGCCTTTCTGGGAAGATCAGCTGCAAGCCTGCGTCTGTACAGGTTTCCTACTTTGAGGCTTAGGAGCATTCCCTCAATGTCCTATAGATCTATGGACCTATCTAGAACCTCTTGCGTTGCTGTGTGGTTGTGCATCAGAAAATTCACATAGATCGTGGGGGCCTGGCTCCTGTCTAACATGAATTGGTGCCAAAGCTTGCTGACTGATTTGCTCTGCTTCCAGAAAGTGGGGTCAGAGCAAATGCGCTGTTATGGGATGTTCAGCTGGAGTCCTGCACTGCGTGCTGTGGGACGTGCACTACACAAGAGGAAGAAAATGACACAGTGCTGTTATGGCAGCATGCTCTGGGGATCTGCCTACGAAGAAGAAAATAGTATTTTATCATTCACTTGTACTGTAAGAGAATGAGGACATATTGTTAAAGTGAAGAGTCTTTTGAAAGAACACTGTTTCTTTGTGTTACGTGGATGTTTTTGTAAATTTGAGTGGTTCCTTTTATTTCGTGGAAGTCCTGGCAACTAGGAGTGCATGTCTGCATCAGAGAGATTAATGAGCAATCAACCTGTTTCTGAGAAGTGGGTCTTCAAGACAAACCCTGTTATGTCCTATTGTAGGAGTTGAGTGGCTGGAGATGGCACCCTGATGTCTGTTCCAGCTCTGCTGTGTATGAATACGGCATTGTTAGAGAGCAGCATGGCTTTTCCCTCTGCTGGAAGCTGGACGGTGAAACAACTGAGAGTTGGGTCGTGGCTGGAAGCCTCCTGTATCTGCTCAGTGCAGGCAGGGTGTGACAGGCTGCACAAACTAACAGTGCTGTGCCTTTCTGCTGCCCAAATCACTGGCTTGCTTTAGAAAACAACTTCCCAGGTAGTTGGAGATTGGAGACCTCTTGTAAAGGGAGGAGAGGAGGACTTCGGGAACCCCAAACTCCAGGTTAGTGCAGGGATGTAGAACTACAGAGCAGTTGCAGAACAGAAGTGTGCTTGGGCTGGCGTGTGTGTATCAGCACGTGTTCATGTGTAGTACTGTTCCTGAAATGGGATGTTCGGAAGAAGGAAGAGGTCCTTCCCATTTAAAAGGAAGCAGAGAAGTGAAGAGGAAGAAAGTCTTTCCAGCTCTGATTTTCCAGATCATCGGGGAACAGATTACAAAGTGTTTTAAAAACTACAGAGAAAGTGGCTCAAGGAAGCTTTTACAATTCTTACTTCTTCATCTCCCTGGAAGCAAACTCATGGCAAGATGGATTCTTCAGTGTGAGTTAAGGGAAAGCTCCAAGTTTCTGGACAATACTAAGGCAAGGAATTTAGTCAGGTCATCATAGGCATTCTTTGGTATTTAATAAACTCAGTCTTGGATACTATATCCTAAAACAATTTTGTTTTGAACTGTTTAGAGTAAATAAACTGAAAGTTGCAGCTGTATTTACTTGACTATTTCCTTATTAGCCTCTTATCACATATGTTGTTACATTAATAATAGCTCTTACATTTGAACCATTGTGCAATAGGCAGTTCTGTTGGCTTTTCTCGAGAGAACATGTGTTCATGGGGGGGCAAGGAATGTTTTTTTTAATCCCTGGAGTCTGAGTTCTGCTGCTTATACTGAAATGTCTGTTTGTGGGGCAGAATGGCAACACAGTGAGCAGCATAAGAAGAAACAGCAAGCACTGCCCTTGTTCTACAGTACTGCTGAATTGCAGAGTATATTCTGCTGTGATTAAGCAGTGTGTTATAACCCAGAGCTACAAACAAAAAACACAGAAAACTATGTGGAAGCTGCCTTAGATGTGACATGTGTTTGACCAATGTTTGATATTGCAAAGATTCTTAGACTTGTAGTTTAAGACAAACATTTTTATCCCTTTAGCTGATGGTTTAAATTTTTTCTTTTTCGCGCTGTTAAAAAAAAACAACAAAACATTTATTCATTGTATTTTCAGGTTCAAAGCAAGCAAGAGAAGAAACCTGGAACGTCATCCCCAGTCCCTTTGAACTCAGTGGTTAGCCCTTGTGCTCTGCCTGTGAATAAAGCCACCAGCAGTACCCCTTTGTCCGTAAACATTCCACGTTTCTACTTCCCTAAAGGACTTCCCAGTGTCTGCACTAATCATGAAGAGATCATTGCCAGGATTGAAGAAGCCTTCACAGAGTTTGAAGATGAGAAAGCCAACATCTGTGAAATGGGAAAAATTGCAAAGGTAAACTCTCCAGATTTCTCTACTTCTTGGAAAGGGAGAAAGGCTGAAACTAAAGCTAATAAAATACCTTTTCCTTTCCATATTTTTTTTTTTAAAGTGAAAAACAAACCAAAATTCTTCTGCTCTGAGTTTTTTTTCTTCCTTTTAGATTAGGAAAATAATTAAGAAAAAGTAGTTCAGTGAAATTGTCCGTGGGAAAAGATTGCTGTTTGCCATGACTGATGCGTGTGCTCCATCTTACTCAGATTTACAAAATCATTCTTCCAGACTTTTTGGCAAATAAAAAGCGCGTTTGTTTTTCTGTTTCTCCATAGTTATAGAAGATAGCAGAAATGTGAAGTGCCTCCGTGGCTTCAGATAGTGCTGGTTACCTTCTCTGTGGCTAACAGTCCTACTGATCTGGACATGATCTTTGTACACTGCAACAGCATTGCTTGGGAAAGAATTTCCAACCTATGCCACCTTGGGCATAGCAGAAGAGGGAAATGCTTAGTCAGCCCTATGCCTCTGAGATGCATATGTTTAATGTCCACAATGTCAGCAGACTTGGAGTTGCTACAGTCTGTTAATGATTTCTTGGCTTCAGAGAACAAAACACAGCACTTGTGTGGGAGCACGATGCAGATGGGCTGTTCTATTTTCCTCTTCTTCCATCGTGGTTTTTAGTAATGCTAATCTAAGACTGGCAGTTGTCAGATGCACCTCATATGTTCAGCTTGTCCTGTGTATGAGTGCATCTGTGGCACTATAGATTGAGCAGTGATGTTCTGTCCAAGGGGAGGGCTTGTTTTCTAAGAGGGAAGCTTAGGTTTGTTTTTAGAGTGGTACACTTGTAAGCCATCACTGAAAGCATAATTTCTTAGATTGACCAAAATAAATTTTGAAACTGATTTTATGACAGGACAGGTAACTGTGTGTGGCTTGTCACATTCAACCTGGGAAAAGCAGGAAAGCTGCGGAGAAGACTTTTGCCTTTCTGTTTGGTCTCTGCAACCATCTCTAAATGGGTGTGCTCTATGTCGTTCAGTTGTTCTGTGGCTTGCTGCTGTTCTCTGGGCTTATTGGGAATGGTGTGTGTTTGGAGACTCTAAAGGAAATGCAGGAGAACCAGCTACTCAAAGAAAACTGCAGAAAATAAATGTTATTTTTTCCTTGGAATAGCAAAGCACCTGTGGAAATGCAGTCACCTGACAGAAGAATGGCTTAATCCTGACATGTTTGTTAATTACCATTCTGAAAACTACCCAGGTAGAAATGCTAATGCAGTGGTTAATTAGAATGTTGTGTTCAGAGAGTCCTGTTGGAATTGGCCTCTTTCCATTTGTGCTTTCATATTCTTGCTGAGATTTAGCAGTGCTGGGAATGGGCTGCTCAGGGTAGAAGGCTGTGCACTGATAACTGTGGGTTTGGAATCATTTCACATTCAGACATTCAATTGCTAATTGAGGTGCTCCTGCCCATGGCAGTGATGTTGGAATTAAATGATCTTTGAGGCCTGTTCTAACCCAAACCATTCTGTGGTCTGTAACTGGAATTGAAGTTCCCTTACTGTTAATGAGAAGTTAGCTCATGGGAAATGGATTATCCTGTCCTCAGGTGTGTTTGTGCTGGTATGGATGGTCCTTTGGAGGTTCCTGTATTCACCCAGTTGGCAGAGTAGTTTAGTCAAAGACAGATGAACTCTGAAGATGAACAGATGACTCTGAAGAGTCTGACCATTTCTGGATGGACAGGATGTATTTCTCAGGTATTTACAAAGGCCTATAAGGGTGGATTCTGAACCTTAGCACACAGTAAAAACAGCTTTTTGACTAAGCTGTATGCCATTACTGCTTCATTTCCTGTATGTGAAAGTGCTCAGGCTGATTTCAGCGCATAAACAATTTGGTGTGACTTCTCTTTGTTCCTGTGTTTTGTTGCAGATATGTGGCTGCCCACTCTACTGGAAAGCACCTATGTTCAGTGCATCAGGAGGACAAAGGACAGGATGTGTATCTGTGCACTCCTTTGTGTCTTTGTGGAGAAAGTGAGTATAGAAAACGTAGAATTCTTTTTCTAGAAGAAGGTAAATTTGCCTTGGAAGAATCTTTTCCTTCTTCTACCGTTCTTTTGAAAGCTTTGTCCCTTCTGTTAGAAAAAATCAATGGCTTAAAAAACTGTTTTTCCTTTCTTAGAAATTGCTGAACACTTAAACGTGGAGGTTGGTGGCCCTGCATGTGGCAATGGGGTTGGAGATTCGTGATCCTTGGGGTCCCTTCCAATCCTGGCCATTCTGTGATTCTGTGAACACTGATACTATGCCATGTACATCAGCAAAATTAACAGTAGTTGTACAGATGATTAAACATACTGTTTTGTTTGACATATAAAATATATTAATATATCCACTCCTGGAAATGTCAGTTACTGCAAGATAGCTGCTAAATGCTGCTAAAATCCTGGATATGTTTATCTGGGGCCTTGACAATGCAGTGGTGTGCTGAGTGAGCCTGATTTGGGAACGGGGAGAGGAAGCCTGTAGCAGGGCAGGAAGAAGGAATGTGAAATAAAAGCACCATGCAAGTAGGCCAAACTCAGCTTTGCTAGTTGTTACCTTCTTCACACACACTCTGTAATAACTGTGTGGGTTTTGGCAGTTGTTTCCTCGTACCACTGTCAAAACTTCTTTTTGGAATTGAAAGCTCTTGCACGTATTGTGGTTGGAGTTAGAGGTGCTAGGTGGAACAGACCTGTTCTCTTGCCTAATCTTCTTCCTCCAGGGCAATTCAATCTTTGTGAAACACTTGAACAGCATCTCCACCTCCTACCCGGAGATACTTCTGCTTTTTGATGTAATGCTCACCATTTAGATTCTTGAAATAGTCTTTAATCCTGAGTTTCCAAAGTATTTCCTATGACAATGTTGTCAAAACAGCCAAGTTACCCTGGCAAAATTACATAGATGCTGGGGATGACTGTGATCAGTAAGTTTTTCTTGACAAGGGCAGTATTTTTTCCTTCCTGAAGTTCCTCCAGCTAATCCAAATTAATCCCTCATGTATGATAGCACATTTTTGCTCCCACTGATTTGCACATCCTTCAGATTATTGCAAACTGTGGTTGTGCTCCTTTTCTGTATTCCTTTAATCCAAACTGCTTCCAAGCTGTTTTAAAAATGCTTTCTTCACTTTGATTTCTCTCTATTCTATTCTAAGACTATTTCTTTTTGTCCCTCCTTCTGATGGTTGTAACAGTTAACTCTGGAAACATGATACCCAGAAATAAAGGTAGTGTTTGTTGTATAGCTGCACTACAGCTGTATGAACACAGCCTTAATTTCAGAACAGGAATGTGTGATCGTTTCAGTCTATTTTTAAGCATCTTAGTAAGTGGTCTGACTTTTCAGCATGCTGTGTGCATACCGATCTCACTTGAAGTCAATAGGAATTGCTGTGTGTGTGGTACTTCTGAAAATTGGTGCTTTTAGTTTGGGGTTAAAACGTGGCTTTGGGCTTCGTCTCTGTGTGTGATTTAAAAATAAAAAAACACCTCTTTTGTGCAGCTGATTCAGAATGTATTTGTTAATTGACAGCATGATGTGAATGTGAAGCCAACAAAAAGGATTGTCAGCCACTAGTTCCCTTTCTTGTTTTCTCTACAGACTTAAAAGCTGTTCCCCCCACTCTTTTTTTTTTTTTTTTTTTTGGTAAAATCTGCATTTGATTAAGAGTAATAAGATTACTCTTTATTAATTTTTGATTAAGAGTAATAATATATACTCTTATTAATTTTAGTGGCAAATTAGTGGCATGCCAGTTAGTGTGATATCTGCAGGAGGACTAGAGACATTTCAGTGCTGTGTTTCAACATTTCCATGTCTCTAAATTCTCTGCCCTACTAGTTCTTTCAGAGTATCATAGAATCATTGAGTTGCTCAGGTTGAAAAAGACCTTAAGGATCATCAAGTCCAACCACAACCTAACCATCCTACCCTAACTAACAACCCTCTGCTAAATCATGTCCCTGAGCACCACATCCAAATGGTTTTTAAACACATCCAGGCATGGTGACTCAGCCCCCTCCCTGGGGAGCCCATTCCAATGCTAAACAACCCTTTGTGTAAAGAAGTTCTTCCTGCTATCCAGCCTTACCCTGGTGCAATTTTGTTCTCCATAACTTAGTGTGCACAGCAACCAGCCATGCCATAATTAATGAGAGATGCTCATTTTCCTTTTGGAGAGTGATTTTTCAGGTCTGGGACTTAGTCACTGCAGTTTCACAGTATCTTCAAACATTGAAATGTAGTGAAAGGCTGAATTGGGATGCATGTCTGCTATGGCACCGTTAGGTTGGTCCTGTTGACTTCAAAAGAGATCAGTGAGCATGCAGCATTTTGAGAAGTCAGGTTTCTTTCTAAGATGCCATTGAATCAAAACAGGAGTCGTCAGAAAGAAATATGTTGCTTCCACAGGAATGTTAACGTGAAAAAATCTCCACTGAGCAGAAGTACTTTGGTGCTGCCAGGAGATGCTGAAGATGATGCTAGTATTGAGGTCAACTTTGCATAATGCATATTGTAGATGTATTGCATAACATGTGATAAGGCACTTGATCATCTAGCTGTGATTTGTGATTGTCTGTGAGATGCAAAGCAGTTGAAGTAACTTTTCATCTCCCTCACAGAATCTTACGTAACTGCCATGATGACGCATCCAGATTTGCTTACCTTGTAGCAAAGCCCAGCTGTGGTTACCTTGAGCAGGAGGACTTCATCCCGCTGCTTCAGGTACCTGCACTCAGCAGTGAAGTGATGGGGAGAGTGGGGAAATGTTTGCTTTTTTAACTTCTTTATTCTCGTGTCTTTAAATGTTTACTAAAAACATGCAGACCTATGGTTGAACAGTGTCTGGGAGGGTTACTTTAGAGAGCATATAATTGAATTTGTCTAGCCAGACTATCAGTATAATAGTCTATAAAGTATCCCATGGAAATCTGTACAAAAATACCCTTGCAGTTCCCACTGGCCTGTGTGCATCTCTGTACCTGTTAGTAGCAAAGTTACACTGCTGCTTGTTTTCTGATATTCTGGCAAAATGTCTGTGTTGCACCTTCATTTCTTCTTAGTAGGCAGGCCAAAGTCTGTGCATCTTATTGCATTTCTTTCTTTCCCTTCAATTCAGATGTGATATTTTTAGCAGAGCAACTATGAAAGCAAAGTATTCTGGCCATTTATGCAGACTCTGGATAGATTTAGCTCTTCTACAGTTTCTCTGTAAATCAGGTCCATCTGCTTCTCTTATCATCTGTTGATAATTTATTTTTTTTCCCAGACTATTCCATAATGTCCTTAACTTTAACACACTTTGTTGCCCTCTTTGCAAAATCTTAGTATAGATGCCTTGCTAGGGAAAGATTTTTTTTCTGTGCTGGATGTTTGTGTGTCTCAAACAAGCCTAACTGGGACTGCAATGGGTAAATTTTCTGATGTTCTTTTTCACCTTTTCTCCACTGGGCATACTGCCTTTCTTGACTGATAGCAGCTCTGCTTCCTAGCTACTGGTTCATCCAAAGACATGTACAGTCTTGTCTGTCATTCAACCAGATGTTAGCAGTATTACACCATATGACACCATCATAGTAGACCTGATTAGACATCAGGTTAGACTGCCCAAAACCTGGCCATGCTGTGCCCCTAAGGGCACTGTATCAGCTCTGTCCTTTGCCACAGCATGGTATAAACAGCAAAATTCTGAACACCTCTTAAAGAGCAGACGAGTCAGACGTGTAAAATTACACAGACATTCTGATACACAGAGGATCTGAGCTGATTGACTCAAGATCTAAGCAATTTCTGTGTATGTCTGGTCATGCATTTTTTAGTAGGTTTGACATCATGAGTGAGTATTTCACTTACAAAAAGCGGACCTTGTAAAACTCCACGTATAGTTCAAGTCACTTTTGGGAAAGCACTGATGTCTGTCTGCTTTCTAGGGTTCACATGAATTTTCATTGATGAGGAGGATGTGAAAAGCAACTTTCTTAGCCTTTCACAGGGCGCTCATTACTGACACTTACTGTCATTACTGACACTTAGCTCTAACAAATACCAATATCTTCAATGAATGGAAAAAATGTTTTTGGAGAAGAGGTGGTTGCATGGTCAACTAACTGATTTTGTATCTCATTCAATAAAAATGAGTTTTCATCCACTCACTAACTCTCTTCCTTTGTTTTTCTGTCCTTAAGTAAATCAATATGGCCCAACAGGTGCGTATTGCCCAGAAAATGCATTGTACTTGTATTTCTAGAAGGTTCACTTCATAGATTAAAAGGTATAATTTCAGTTTTATTGTTAATGCTAAAACAAGTAAGCAAAAGTATTGGTTTGTAAAACAAAACAAAATCCAGCAACATCTGAACTTTAAATAAAAGGAGTAGGAACTCTGTTTCATTTTATTTGGTCTTATCTTGCAGGACGTGGTAGAAACGCACCCTGGTCTGACGTTCCTAAAGGATGCTCCAGAGTTCCATTCCCGGTACATCACCACGGTAGGCTGCTTGTTTCATCTCCTGTCACAGTGCTGTACCAATCCTCCTTTTGTTATTTGTCACTATTCCCAAATCATTAATTTACTGCAAAAATACATGTTTTTTATATCGCTAGCAAGAAGTTACGTTCAGAAGTTCTTCAGAACAAAAAAATGATCAGTCTGTGTAGAAGAGGTCATTCACAAGGGTAGTGATGATTCTTTCTGGTCTTAAACAAATCTTTGAAACAATTTTGGCCTTTAATTATGTTGGAGGAAAATAAGAGTCATCCTTCTTTGGTCTTTGAGAGCTACTAAGTTACCCCTAACACTGCAGGGCTGCTGTGGCCTCAGCAGCCACATGTTTGAAGATTTCTGTCACTTAGGCGTGGGGTCTCTGATTGTTCCATGGTACAAGGCATCCACCAATGTCCAACCCTCTTGCATCTCACTTGCCAGAACATCTCTCTGGTCTTTCTGAATCACTGATTTTTTTGTGACTACTGCTGGTGGATCTGTAGCTTTGTTCCAACTCTGCAGTCAGATGTTAGACTTGTGCTTTACCTGAAAAAGTTTGTACTTTTTTTTAAGCCTGTGTTGTGTTGGGTATGAATATGGATAAAAGATATAAGTGTAGAATGTTTGATCTCTGCAATGATAATAAACTCAGATAAAAATGGGCCTGAGGAGGGCTTCATCTCAGCTGGGTTTAGAGCTTTTCTTACTGGCTTGACAGGCTCTCTGTGGGGGCCTGCTGCACCACATAGCAGCAGCTGGGAGATTAGTGGCAGGCACAGACTTATCCCTTTCTTGTAAGGAGCAGATGGCAGAGGGGTTGTGCTGCTTCGGCCATATCCTATGTTTGTGAATCTGTGTAACGAGAGACAATTTCTAATGTCTAAACACTCTTGACTGTGGTGGTGGATGTCAATGTATTATTATCAGCATCTTCAGTCCCTGTGGAGCGAGGCAGCAGATTTGTTGAGCATAGTACCTTGTCAGTGTAGGTGTAACAAATGTCCAGGTGATCATGAAGGCTCACAAATGGGTGAATTGCTGTGATTTCTAGATCTCACCAGGTGCTGTGTGTTCTGCTCTGAGAGATAGCTGCACTTCAGGATAACTGAAATGTAGGCTACTACTAAAAAGAGAAATCTTTTCCTTCCTTTCTTTATTTTCTCATAACTTCCCTTGAACCTGGATGAACTATGTCCTGTATGACCGCCAAATTTGGGCACAGAAGAAGATCCTTCACATGTACATGAAACTTCTCAGTGCTTCTTGATTCTGTTCATCTTCTCTGTGCTTTCTTACTTCAGCCTGAGAGCCTTTAGACACCCCTATGTGTAATACTGTTCACAACAGTGGCTTCCTAAGCTTTCTCTCCGGCACCCAGGAAATGATGGTGCTGGTGTTTGAAGTGAACAGTGTGTGGCAGCGAATCTTACAAAGCTGTGACATCCTTCACAGACTTCTCGTGCTTGCAGAACAACTCTGTTTTGGGTGTCTCTTCTGACAGATTCCTCCTGAGCTCTGTATTTGGCCTTGGCTGGATCACTGAGCTGGAGCAGAGTCTAAGACCTACGGAGACACAAAGTCTGTTGGGTCAGATTGGTCCCACATGGAGTGGCAATACGTGGCCCACTGCATAGTGCCTCTCCTCTCTGACAGCAGGAATTCCTGTTTCTCACATGTCTATTCATGAATAATTCGGCACTTCTGTATTTAATGCCATGAAATTGAGTATTTCCACCAGGAGGTAATGAAGGAAACAGCTTTGTCCTTGGATTTTGAGACTGCCTGGACACTTTCATTCCCTTCAAGGTAGAGTACCTTGCACTTATTTATAGTGATAGTGCTATATCTGCTGCAAGAGCAAGAGTTATATTTCATTGTTGTATTACAGATCGGGGCCATAAAGAGACACTGGCTTTTCTGCTCACTATTGAATATGGCATCACTTGGTTGAAATCATCTGGAGAGTAAGTTAACAATGGATGTGTTTGCATGTTTCATTATTTTTTACTTCTTTCCATGCCTTTTAGAGATGCCTTTTGGATACACTAGCCTTTATGTAACCTGCATCAGTGTATTTGACCTGTTGTATTGCCAAACTATTTGTTTCTAAAGTATACTAAACTACTTGTTTCTTTTAACAGAGGTAGGCCCCTGAAACCGATGAAGAGGATGCAGAATATCATGAGACATTTAACATCACTTCTTCCAGAATGTGCAAAGAAAGCTCAGTGTTAGCAATGCAGGCTGTTGTTAAAAATCTGTGTCAACTGAAAACAAATTATCAAACCTTATTGCTTGGTGAAAAATGTTCAGCTTATACAGTATTACCCATGTGAATGTGAAAAGTGAAGATGGTCTACAGGATTTAATAAAGACTTGGGTGTTTTTTTTTTTGTGTTGTTTGTTCCCTCTTTCCCCCTCTCCTCAAAATTGTGTTGTTTTTCTTTTATGGGGATAATGGGAAAAGATCTGGAACTAACCCATCAATGGTTCTGGACCTGGAGATACTTTACATGATGGTACTGGGCAAATAAGGAAGGAGCTTCCCCCTTCCAAAGGCTCATGTACTCAATTCGGAATAAACAGACTTCCATGCCAGGAAGAAGGGAGCCAGAGCACAGCACACAAGGTTGTAGCTGCTGAGTAGAAGTGCCTGTAGCAACTTGGGCCTGAGGCCAGTTTCTTGCTTGGTTTCTAAGCTTACAGTGGCGATGCAATCATGCAGCAGGTGCTCTAACTGAGAAACATAAAGCAGGCAGGCCACAGGAATTAATTTTCTATCACAGTAGACACTGGCTGTTTGAGTGCTGCAAATCATGTCAGTTTTATTATAATGTCCTATGATATTTCCCAAATGCTTTTTTTGACAGCTTTGTCTTTATAACCTAGAAAAGAGAGAAGTGGAGGCACTGTGTGTGTACGTGTACATGCAGTTTAATGCTCACCAAAACTACCATTATTTGGATAATAAAGCCTTCACTGTGTGACTGGATACAGTAAAGAGGAGGTGAAAAGAGATCCCATCTTTCCCCTGTACGCCTTATTTTTACAGCTGATGAGATGAGAGCAGAGGGTGCATCTTTATCAATATGATCTGACAGAGGAACGGTTTCCTTGAGTCACCAAGGGGGATATTTTGCTGTCTGCTATTACCCAGCAGGCAGGGAAAAGAAAAAAGACTGCTAGTTAGGGGTTCTTTTTCTATCTTGAGATTTTTGTTTGTGTCCTTGGAATGTTGTGGAAAGGCTGTATCTTTGTGAATTGCTAGAGTTGAGAGGTGTGGTAATGGATTGTGTGTGAGGTGAGACACTTCAGTCTCTGAACTGGCTGGTAAAACCTGGCAGCAAAGCCCAAAGTTCAAAAATAGTCCAGAATGGCAATGGTTGCCAGCAACATTGAAGAAGGAAGACACAGCTTTGAATTGTTTAAGACCAGAAAAGACCATTGTGATTCCCTAGACTGACCTTTGGCACTACACAGACCACAGAACATTGCTCAGGGATTGCTATAGTTAGGATAAATTTTCTTTTTGACTGAATTATTGCACAACTTCAAAAAAAAAAAAAAAAAAAAAAAAAAGTCTGTGATTGATGTTTGGAGAGGTAAAGAGCCCACAGTGTGTCTCTGCAAGTTGTCCCAGTGGTTAATAACTGGCAGTGTTTATTTAAATAAGTAAGACAAAATCCTCTAGATACCTAGTTTGAGAGACAAAAAGTCCTTCTGCTGTCCTGCATGTCCCCCTTTGGCTTCTAAGGAGTAGGATAGTCACCAGTAGATATCATGGTAAGCTGAGTTGACTATTCTCTATTTTCGGGGTAAATTCTGAGTCCTCAAATCATGCTTGTTGTTCCCTAAACTGTCTGGACTCATCAGCATTTAGTGTCTCACTGTTCTTCGTATCCAAAGCAGAGTGTTAGCAATGATCTCATACTTGTTTCCAAATCTGTTCTGGACTAAGAAGCCTGCCCTTGTGTGTCTGAGTCAAAGCATGGTCCTTAAATGGTCCTTGCCCACTTGCAGCTATGCTTTAGGCTCAGAGTGACCCATCACAGTCTTATCTGTATCCTTACAATATCCATGTTTTGTAAATTTAGCTTTTACGTTGGAGTAGCATGTTCTATTAAGACTTACCAAAATCCTAGGCTAATACGTCAACAGCTTGTATTAGATTTCATTTACAAGGATTGTACTCTGTAGGCTTCAGTACTGATAGTCATTAATTACATTTCTAATTTCTCATGTTAAAGATGTTGTGTTATTGGTATTTATTCTTGTTCACATTGTCATGTTTATTCTTGCATGCTCTTGATCACACATTTGCATTTTCTCTGCCCTGCAATACTTGATGTGCTAAAAAGGAGTGGATTAGGAATAAATAGTTCAGCCTGCTTTTTTAGGTGCTTGTGAGCACTCATTCTCATACTGTGTACTGTTCCTCATGGATTCTCAGAACTGTGTGCTTTCCCCACCATGCTCTTTATTCCCTTTTATGAGAAACAGTGAAGGAGATGAACGATGTAAACACATCCCTAAGACAAATGCAGACAGATAATCTCTATTGATTATTTTTAGTGGAGCCACCAAGAAGGTGAGTTATTGTTACAGACACAATAGGTCAGACAACACCTGTGGATTTCATTTGCATGTCCTATTTCCTCTTCTGAAGTCCTGATTTCTTTTTTCACAAGTGCAGAGCACTATCAGTTGAGGTCCTTGCAAGCTGCAGTGCCTGAAGCCTGAAAAATGTGCAGCGATTTGTCAGCACTTTGAACAACATATCACTTAAATAATAAATCTACATGCTCAAAGATTAATTAAGAACTGTGAAAATAGTTGCAGAGTGGAAATGAACAATACTGCTTCAGAAACAAATGTAACGTTCAGACTCCATAGTAATTAAGAATAATAGTATAAACAACAACAACAGAAAGTTTTCAGTAAGAAGTCTCCTTGGGATGAGTGAATAATCCAAATAAAGCTACTCCATTTCAGCTCCCTAACTGATTGTTTCAAGGAGTTGGTTTAATGAAAGTTGTTTGTCTTGCAGGTTATACAAAGAATATTCTACACGGTCAATCGATCCTGGTCTGGGAAGATCACCCTAACAGAGCTGAGGAAAAGCAACTTCTTACAAGTGTGTTGGTTTCTACCTGAATGAGATATAGAATGCATTGATTCCTTTATTCCTGTGTACTGTTCAGTGGGGTTGTAGTAAGGCAAATTCAGTGCCCAGCTCAGTGCCAGGATAGGGGCAGAACTGGTGAAGGAGGTGTTTCAGAGTCAAGATGAGAGAAGACCAAGGACCAGAGCAGCCAAGATTGCAGCAAGTAGAAGTTGAAGGCGTACGTTCAAAACTCTGAAACAGCATCTGGCAGTTTGGCTCTTAGCTCCTGATCTAGCTAAAGTGAAAGGAAAACAAGAGACACAGTTTATCTCTGATAGGTGGCTCACTGAGCAGCCAAGAATAGCTGGTGAATGGACTATGATATGTGGTGAGTAGCACAGCCAGTTTCTTGGCTCAGCTGGCAATCAGTCCTCTGCCAGCTGGTCAGGGACACTGCACCATGCAGTTGCAAGACAGAGCATGTCAGGATGCATCACCTGGTTTGTACTGATTTCTAATTGTGCAGTAAACTTCTCCAGAAAAGCTGTCAAGTTTAGCACTAGTTACAATTCCTGTGATAGATCGGAGCAGGGAATGGTGGGTGGATGTTTTGGGATGAAGATCTCTGTTCATTGTATAATTTACCCAAAAGAGCACCAGATTACGACTGTCTAAGGCTGCTTGATTCCATCCCAGCCTAAAAAGCCAGAAGCCTTTAGGCTGAAAGGTCGAGGTGGTAAATCAGTTAAGGCAGTGAGATTTCCCTGTTGCAGATGTAATGTACTTTCTCAAAAGCCTCAAGCATGAAACATACTCCTCCTTTCAGATTATTCTGCCCTACTTGTCACATCAACTAATAATCAGTGCTCGCTTAGGTTGTCTCATGCCAGACCAAGCCTTCTTCCCTACCATCTGCTGTTAACCAATCCTTCCAACTTATACTACATCTTTGTTCACTCATTTTTCTCCTTAATATGTTCACCTCTTTCTGCTTGTATAGCTGCTCTGATTTTCACCTTCTGCAGCGGGGAAGTTCAGCTTGGGGACCATGGCTTGCTGAGACAGCTCCTTGCTGTGTGTGTAAATGGCGTATTTTGATGTGAGCTGTTAAAAAAGAAAAGTTCTTGAAAAACCTCCCCAAGTGTTTATTGTCTGCAAAGGCACGAAGAGACCCAAGAAGCTAGTGAGTGAGTGTTCAGACATGTCTTAAGTCTTAGGTGACTTACATGTCAGAAAATCAGAATAGTTTGGTAGGTCTGCTGCTCTGTTGTTCCTGTGTGACATTTTACTGAATCTGATGGTTAACGGGATGTGAGTTTTGCGCTGGCTCAGTTAGCTTCCTAGGATATAGAGATATTGGAGAGAGAACAGTGAACTATCAGCATTCACTGCCACTGCCACTAGGCCTGCTGTCTTAGGGACACAGCTGCCTGGGACAGCTCTTTGACTGTCCCTCCTTCTGAGGGTTTGTGAGGGCAGAGGAGGATAAGACCCGTAGCTCGTTTGATTTGATTCATTGGATTGAGAAGGCTATCTGCTGTTCTCTGGCTGCAGCGCTCAGGGAAAGGCAGATGGAGATAAAGGTGAGATACCTTCTGCCACAGGAGGGAAGGACAGAGGTAGGCATAAAGTGGAAATAAAACAATTGCTAAATGTTTCGTAGTGGGATATGGTAACAGAAATCACGGCTGAAGATCTGCCCAAGCCTTCCAGTTAAACTAGACTGATTTCTGTCAGCAGCAGGCCAGGAAGATCAATGTGATTGGTTTAATTTGCCTGGATTGATCCTTCCCCATTCCAGGTGTGAGTCTGGAGTAAGAGTTGATCTTTTGCTTCAGGAGCCAAGCAAGTGCATTGTCAAGATGCATCTCAGTTCCTGTGGATTTGCTGTGGTAAATGGCTCTAGGAGCCTCTAGTACAGGTCAGAGATGGTTCACAAATAATGGATCCCAGCTGAGACAGCAGTTGTCTCAATCTTCTGCATGACTCTTTGCTATGGCTGAAAATTAACAGGAATTGTTCACGGGATTGGCAAAAGTATTGTGCACATATGCTAACCAAGATGTTCAAGCCAGATGCTTTATAACTGCCTGTTAAACATCAAGTGCAAGAACAAAATCTCCTACAGTGAGGAAGGGCTGCGTTTTGGATTAGCTCTCAGAGCTGTGTTTGCCCAGCTTCTATAGAGGTTGGAGGACTCAAGCTGTTAAACTGCTTCTTTGTCTAGGTTTAACTTCCCTCTTTATTTATACTGTTTCAGACTCTTGCTCTCTTGGAAGAAGAGGATGACATAAATCAAATCACAGATTATTTCTCCTACGAGCACTTCTATGTTATATACTGTAAATTCTGGGAGCTGGACACTGACCATGACCTTTATATCAGCCAGAAGGACCTGGCTAGGTACAGTGATCAAGGTATGCTGCCTGCAAGCTGTGGTGGGAGGACAGTGGTTGCTGAAAATAGAATGATCCTAATAAAAAGTAAAGCCTTTAATTTAGTTAATTTGACACCTCAACAAAATTTAAATGGAGGCATCCTTCTCATAAACAAATACTGATTTACAGACGTACTTGTAGGGGCTTAGACACAGAGAAATGCAGCAGATGCTGTTTTCCTCATGAATAGCTTCAGTGGATTGCTGCCAGAAGGACTAGCTAATAATGCTTTCAAACTAGCTCTTTTTTTTGCTGAGGGTTTTGCAGGTAGTTGAAGTATGAACAAGAAGGCCAAGCCTCTCTGAACTTTAAAGATTGCCAAAATGCAATCTTGTTGGGTGAGAGAAGTTTCAGAATCCAGCAGAAGTTGATGAATTTTGGTTTGCAAATGAAATCTGGGGATTATCTTTTGAGTTCATTCTGGAACACTTTGCCACAAGTTGAGCAGATCCTAAATTTTTCGAAGGCTCAAGTGCCGTAGATAAATTAATGGAATAAAAATCCACGAAGGGGTGAATAATGCAAAAGCAATTCCTCTGGCTCAGGAAGTCCTTGCTCTGCAAGTTCTGGAAGGCTGAGAAAGCGTGCTAGAAAATAGTCACTGTATGTGTGAGCTGTTCTGTATGGTTTGTTGGCTGGGCTGGACGGAGGCACCCAGTCAGAAGGGGGCTGTGTTGAAGATTATCTGTGTTCTTGGAGCACGATATGCCCATGTGCTTACAGTTAGGATTCATGACTTAGTGTCTTGGACAAGAGCTTGAGCTATTGACCAGCATGTTTTAACTCTGAAGATAAAGCTGTCTTGAATTCTTCAATGTGTTTACCACGCTTTTTAGGAAAGTAGTTTTAGGATAGAGAGTTAGGCTTGGAAAAATGGGATATTTAGACACAACATGTAATTTGGAGGTAGCGGGAGAGGTGAAAGGTGTTCCAGTGCATAGAGTTACAGGGGTCTGGAGGTATCACAAATTGTGAGGAATTGTTGGAGATCTGGAGGGGACACAACATTTTGTAGGGGTCAAGATCCTGGAGGGCTGAAGTGAGAAAGAAAGAAGGGAGTGTGGATTGACTGTAGATCTGTGTGTTGTGGTGGCCCATGTCCTTGGGGTGGAAGCGTTTACGAGAAGGCTATGGGGATTCTGGCAGTCACAGCGGGTCAGGAGGTTGCTGAGAGGCCTGGATGGGCTGAGGATAAGGAGTGCCTAACTAGGTTATATGGGGACTAGGTCCTTTTGGGGAGGGTGGAGTGTGGGAATGGAGCACCTCTTACACAGGAAACTTGAGAGCGCGGAGTGCTGGGGAGCTGAAGAGAGGAGTGCTGTGGGCAGGGTGAAGGGGGGATGTTTTCAGTACAGTGGTGCAGCAGCAGGTCTAAAGGAAGTGTCTCGGTGGTCTGCAGTGTGAGGTTAGTGTGGAAGTCCTGCCCAAGACTGATACTTATTGCTTGGTTGGTGCTTCTCTACCATAGCAACCAGCCCCACACATTTCCTGGTTGGCAAAGCCCTTCAACTCACTTGAAATAATGCTTGTTTTTAATTGTCTTTCCCTGAAGCAGGGGATTGCAACACTTCGTGCATTGCTTAGAAATGTTTTTGTATGGATTTGAGATGTGATTTTTGCTTGACAGCTGAACTAATTTTGCAGTATACATTGAAGTAGTCTCCTTCTATTAGTCCTACTGCAGCAAACTAGGGGTAATACTGCCCATAATGGAAGATGTACTGCAAGAATCCAGATCTTTTGAGAGGAAGTAATATTTGAGAGGAAGTAATAGTGTTTGGTAGGATACAAAGGCAGGCATATCTTTGTTTTTAGCTGAGTGCTGCTAAACAGGGAGCAGTGGAGTATCTAGACAGACAGTGTAGGTAGAGCTTTGTTTTAGTGGTGGGAAATCACTCTGTGTGAGTTCACTTTAAATAACTGAATGTCATTATTCTGGTGACCTGTTGCTTCATTTTATCTATTTCCTTTGTTTCCAGCTCTATCAAGCAGGATTATTGAGCGAATATTCAGCGGTGCTGTGGTGAGGTGAGGAATAGCATGCTGGCTGGGAATGGAAGTGAATTTCTGTCAGGCTGATTAGAAATTCAAGATACTGATCAATGGGAATTTCTGAGAGTATGGTTTCCAACATGATGCTTCAGTTGAAGCTGCTTGAAAATTGAGTGGCACTTTTGGTGGTATCTTTAGAAAGCAAATAAAAAATGCTGTAGGATGATCACTTAAATACATCTTTGTAGAACACGTAGTAGAAAATATTTTAGAACAGGCATAGCCCGTGGGAGCATACAGACACTGTATTTTTGCCCAACAGTGGCACAGGGATAGCTGGACAGCATTGGTGCAAAGCCTCAGAAAAACAGCACAGCCCAGCAGCTGCTGTGTGAGGATACTTGGCAGGTGAGCCCCAGCTTTGCGGTGACATCCAGGCAGCAAGCATTGCGCTTGGGAGGAAGGACAGGAGGATTGTTGCTAGGAAGTGCAGTACAGGCTGAGCGGGCAGTCATGTTTCCATTTTCTCTTACAAGTGATTCGGGGCTTTTTAAAAACTGTGTTGATAACATTCTGAGTATTAAGAAGCCTGTTTTTTCTGGGTGTGTTTTTCAGGGGAAATGAAGTTCAGAAGGAAGGCCGCATGAGTTATGCTGATTTTGTGTGGCTGCTGATTTCAGAGGAAGACAAAAGAAATGCTACAAGGTTTGACTGATTTCTGTGTCCTAGTAAAAGTACTAAGATGAGCAGATAGGATTTTAGAAACTTCTGTGACTTACTGCTTTCTCAAACAGACAGCAGCTTGAGTTTCCATGATTATTAGGAAGAAGACAGCTTACTGTCAATACTTGGTCAAATAATTTTCCTTTCTTGAGGAGAAATTGCTTAGAGGGAGAGTTTCCTTTTAATGTTAAGTGTCTTGGGTAACCATCAGTCACTTTGGTTCCCCCATGCTCATGAAGTTAGTGCGATTTTACCACTGTGAGGAACTGCTTGGAGAGCAGTAGTGAGCTGCATAAAAACTGAATTTGTTTATTTTCCCCCTTTGTCTCCATCACACTTCCCTGTAGGTCTTGATCTCATTGACTGCAGACTGGATGATGGCTTCTCACAAGGGTGGTCCCTGGCCCTTTTTATAGAGGCAGCTGTAGATACCATCTGTCAGCACTGAGCTCCTGTGTAGTGGGCAGAGTTCATCTCACATGGCTGCAGCTTTGTGGCCGTGTGAACTGATATCTCAACCATGCTGTGAGGGCTGGGGTGCACTTCAGAGGGGGTCTGTGTAGCAATAGCAAGGGCTGCAGTCACTTTTCCTGGCCTATCCCTGGCTCTGGGGTAAACCCATGAGATGTTTGCAGCTGGTAGGAACGTTTCCTTTATGCATGTAGCAAGTTCCTAAGAAGGGTTTGTAGGGAGATGAGTCTCTTAGTAAAACCTACCCAGCTGCCTGGTTTGTGCAGCCAGCAGGAGACTGCTGTGCAGAGCAGAACTAGATCTGCATGCAGTTATTAGGGCAAGGAATTCTCTGAGTAAAGAACTCAAATCCATGGTTGGACTATCTAGAGGTGAAGGTAGGATGTAGAGTGCAGCTGCCTTAAAACACTGCCTTTGATATAAAAGAGTATGGGATAGCTGGTGTCCTGGCTTCAGAGTTGGTTGTATCTGGCTAACTTCTGATGCTGAATGGGGCAGGAGCACCACAGCCTGTGTGAGACAGTTGACAGTGCACACTGGGCACTTGCTAGAGCTACCTGGTGAAACAGGTCGTGAGGGTGGCTGTGCTCACAAGTCACCTAAAACAGAACTAACAGGTGGCACTGGTGAGCCTTGGCTTGTGCCCTAATCCTTCCTAAAGGTTATTTTTGTCCCTAGATTTATGCCAACGTTTGGGTGAAGAGGAGCATTGGAGAATTGGGGAAGGGGAATGTGCATTGCTGCAGTAGAGATTCTCTAATGCAGTCACCGTGCTTTCACTAATCCTGTCTCTTTTTCTAGCATTGAATACTGGTTTCGCTGCATGGACCTGGATGGGGATGGGGTGCTCTCCATGTATGAACTGGAATACTTCTATGAGGAGCAGTGTGAACGGATGGAAGTGATGGGCATAGAACCACTGCCATTTCAGGACTTGCTGTGTCAGATGCTCGATCTTGTTAAGCCAGAGAGAGAAGGTACATTCTGTTTAATGGGGCTTCCATGCTCTTTGATCTGTGGTGGATTGAGAAAGTAATGTTACCCTGAAACCCATTTGTGGATAGAGTCTTGTGTTAGAATCACAGGGCTGGAATTACTGTACAGAGTAACAGTAACATTATGGCTGTTTGCAGCATAATGTTATACATAAAGAAGTCTGAAAAACTCGAAAGACCTTTTGAATGAACTTGCTGGCACTGGAGCAAGTCTTGTATAGTCCAGCTGTGGAACATACTGACAGCATAGATGTGAAACTACCATCCCCCTTCACATTCTTTCACATTTCACATAAATATGAAAGACCTCCATATTACCTCCAGATGTGTGTGAAATTCAGAACTAACACACACCAATTTATTGAATAATGTTTATCTTCTTGTCAGGATTGGAAAGAGATTTTGCAATATTGTAGCGTAGTGGTGCAACAAGACTTCCTTAAAGCTGACCAGAACAGGTCCAGTTTCTCACTAAGGAAAAGCTTAATAGCACAGTATCATGTGTGGGTTTTTGTTTGTTTTGTTTCTGCAGGACGAGTAACCCTGCGAGACTTGAAGAGATGCAGAATGGCTCATGTGTTCTATAACACGTTCTTCAATTTAGAGAAATACCTGGACAATGAACAGAGAGATCCCTTTGCAGTGCAAAAGGTATAAATCACTTCTATTTCTAAATACAGGCCTTCTCAAACTCGTCTTTGGAATTAAACTGGATGAAGGAAAAATCCAACTGAATATAAAGACCTTTTTATAAAGATCTATATGTAAAAACCTTTTTCACGCTTAGGGCAGTCAGACACTGGAACAGGTTGCCTAAATAGTTTGTGAATATTCTGACCTTGGAGGTTTTCAGCATGTGACTTTGAACTCCCTGATCGGACCTCACAGCAGACCCAGAAGTGACCAGAAGCTGAGAGATGTCCTGGGTACCTTCCAACCCAAACCATTCCACTATTCTATGGTATGACTGCCTTAGCTGATCCTACTGCACCAGCACTGGTGGTGCAGTGTGTGATTCTAGAGAGAATGACCTACACCTGCTGAGTTGCCAGTGATCCATCAGGTTGTGCCTGGCAGCATTCACCATCCTCCCTCCAGACAGAAAACATAGAAAAGGTTGTCACTTCTGCAATTTCTTGTTACACTAGCTGTAGGGTGTTCTGGCACCTGAGCTTTGTCAGTTGCTGGCGTGAAGTCCCTCACCTCTGGTTCCCCTTGCATATGCACTGAAAACAGATGTGACTGTAGCTTAAAAACTATCTCCCAGAAGGCTTTTATGCAGTCAAAAGTACAGTAAGGTGGTGGGGATGCCAAAATCAACTTTGGTTCTTTCCCAGCTGGTTCCTGCATAACCTGAATGAGGAACTTTGCAGTTCAGTGCTTCTAGGCTGAAGTATATCCAAATTCGGAACCACCCTATTTAATGTTTTAGGTTTCTGTTTTCATTTTTTAAGGATCATCCTAAGTTATGCTCCCTGGCCCCACCTGCCTGCCCCTATCTTCCCTTGGCTTATTTACTAAATGGCAGAGAGGCAAATGTTTATAGAGATGTTATTTTGTAACCTTTCAAGCTTTCCCCCTCTTAGCAAACTGCTAGGGTCAACTGTAATTGACAATTAAGGATTTCAAATTAAGTCCTTTAACCAATTGCAAACTGTGAAGATGCATGGCTTTGTGAACTGGAGCAACGAAAATACGCAGAAGATACTGTGGAATGACTTGGGTTGGAATGGACCTTTGAGGTCATCCAGTTCCAACACCCCTGCTGTGGGCAGGGTTGCCAGTAGTTATTCAGCATTTCTGAAGTGGAGGGGGACTGATTTGTTGGCAAGTCAGGTCACACACTGAGTTTTGTAGTCTGCGCGTAGTCTGTGTGTTTCATAAAGTGCAGATGTTAATTTAAGGTAACTGTGAGCCTTTCAGTTAACACATTTTTTGTTTGGATACCGTCGATGAGAACTCCTAGAACTGGCTGTTCACATGTGCATGGAGTTACAGAACACGAGACCCACTGTAAACATAGTTGTAAAGAGTTGCAGACGTGGTGTGCTTGACTGCCTGCTCTCTTCAGGATTTTGAAAACGATGGCCCTGAACCTTCTGACTGGGACAGGTATGCTGCTGAAGAGTACGAGATCCTTGTGGCTGAGGAGTCTGGGAACGAACAGCTCCAAGAAGGGTAAGCAGAGGCATTGCACTGCCCTGGAGACGCGTTCCATGGCTCTGGCTGGGATCAGGACTTTCATCAGAGCGTGGTGAAGCCTGAAGTGGTTGCTCCAAAATGGCTCTATTGGTAAATTTGTCATAAGAGGCTTGGGATCTTCTGAATTCTTTTTGCCAACCATTTAAATTATCTACACAGTAGATGTGAAGATAGCTGGGAAAAAGGAAAAAGCAATTTTCTTTTGGTAACGGTACCAAAAAGATCTCAAATGACTTTTGCTATTCCTGGCTATGTGTTAATGGTAAAAGCTGTAGCCGTTACATTTGCCATACTAGTGGAGACTTTATTTTAGTCAAATAATTTTACTTCCTGCCCAACTTTATGCCTGTTAGTCTTTTTATTTAAAACAGTTGACTTCTGCAATATCTACAGTAATTTTTGCAAACGTGTAGAAACGTGTATTGATGGCTCCAGCTATCCTCAGAGCCAATGAATTTAGGCAGAGCAGTAGGTCCAGGAATGCTCTGTATGCATTCCACAGAGGCACCCAATGCAGACCTGCTGTATGCGTGGCTGGGGTCGTATCTTCTTGAGGGTATTTCTCCAGAGATTTCTTGATGGTTACTGTAAGACGCATTGGAACAAATATGTTGTGTTTCTACATGGTGTTAATCTTGCATGATTCAGGATTTCACCCATTCTTGAGCAGCATTTACAGAGCCATGAAATAAGAGTGCTGAGATGATTGCCTAATTTTCCCACAATGGAAACTGCTTGGATAACAGTAGCATCCACTAATTGGCCACTGGGATTTACAAAGCCACGGAGAGCTGCATTTGCCTTTCTCCCTGTGATGTGCATCCAAACAGCAGTAAGCTGTTTATTCATCTCCTTTGAGCTGCCTTGCCTTTTTGTGGCTTCCATAATGAAAGATGATGTAACAGAGGATGGAAGATAAAATTGTTGTATTTCCTGCATCTGCACTGCAACACCTGTGTGCTCAGTACAGAAAAGAAATAGGAATCTACCATAGAAGCTTTGCAGGACCACGAATCACCAAATTCACCAAAAACAGAATTGGTGATGTCAGGTTTTTGAAGTCTGTCTGAAACAGCTCTGTGTCTTCCTCTAAAGAGCATGTCAGCAACCTTGCTGCTTGCTTTTAAGAGCCCCTGAAAAGCTCTGTAGTCATGGCAGCGACATTAGATCTCATTTGTGAAGCATAGCAACAGACCACAAAGGAAAAAAAGGAAGGGAAAAAGAAAAACAAAGAGCTGGATGCCCAGACAAATTTGCTAGAAAGAGGCATTGAGTTTTTGCATATTCATCATTTCTGCTGTCCTTTGAGGGTGACAGAAACAGAGTGGGACAAAACGAAGATGATTTATGAGCTCTATGAAGAAGCAGATGATTTTTTTGCAAAGGTAGCTGGCAGAATGTGAAATTCAGTGTTTGTCTGAATAGATTTGAGAATAACCATCGTTCAGCAATTGCAGATGAATTAGTTGGCATTCTGCACTACATTTATGACTTAATCCTGCCTGTAGCTTTTCTGACTGGAGGGTTTCTGACACCAGTTGGTGTCTGGCTGCCTGGATGCTTGTCTGTGACAGGGCACTGCCTGTGGAAGAGGAATCTCACCAAGACATAGTGGATGCTCACACAGACTTCAAGGATGCTGTGCCTGTTCAGAGGTGGTCAGGTGCTGTCTGTGTAATGTCAGGGAGATCTTAAGTGTTTACTTCTGATCCTGAGTGGCAGCTTCAGAGATTTGCAAGTACTAGTGTGGTAAATTAAATACCTATGTTGGAAAACACAAGGACAACACACTCACCAAAAAGAAGAGAAAAGAAAGGTGTTCTTTTACTTAAAACAACAATTTGGAGCGTGGTGTTTCACTGAACGCTTAAGCTGATCTGAACACTTCTCAGCCATGTTTTCTGGTTTATACATCTGTGTATGAGTTTTCGAGAAGAGAGCCTGTTCCCTGGTGAATGCATGCACATGTTTTTGTGTAAAGGCAGAAGCAGTAGTTGAATCTGACCACGAAGGCTCTGAAAGCAAAACTGCTATCTCACAGACTTTGCAGGTGATGGCACAGAAGCCTCTCTGCAGCAGGACGTAAGGACTGGCAGGCAGAAATTGCTCCCAGGGCTTTGTTGTATCTGCACATGACTAAGAAGAGGGAAAAGCAACACGAGAAATGGCAGATGGCTCTTTTTTGGCACTGTCCACACAGGATATCAAAGGAGTTAACCTTTTTCTAGGGCAGTTTATCAATGAATAAACTGGAGCTATTCCTGTGCTTGCCACTGGAAGACCTGCTGCAACATTGCCTTCATAACAAGCGTTGCTTTCAGAACTAAAGAATTTGAATTTCTTGGGAGTCCTGAGAAAATACCTTGTGATGGGCTGAGGCTGGGGAAAAAATATCATTTCTCAGCAATATACTGCAGCTGGCTGGAGAGGAGAATTTGCAGACAAACCTCCCTAAGTCATAAGCACAGAGACCTGGATCTTCAAACGAAGAGGGAGAGGAACATGACAGTGTGGCCACAATTGATTTTTCTGTGAAAACGAAAGCGTATCATAAGCTCAAAAATACTTTGGAAACCAAGTGTTAGTGAGCAGGTCTGAGCAAGCCAAGTTTCCTCTAGGAGCTGAATCTGTGCCTGAACAACTTGATTTCTACACTAAGGCTACTGCAAGATACTGACTAAAACTGTATTCAGATTTCTAAATGCCGAACACCAATGAAAAGCTGTTTCAGAACTTATGAATGAGGATGGATAGAGGACAGTCAGCTGTCAGAATGCTGCCTACTGAGGCACTGTGCCTTACAAATATGCTCCTTGAGGTTAACATCCTGCATGTTATCGTATTTTAGTCACATGGTTTAGCGGCTGCTGAAATAACTTAGCTGAAAAGTGCTCTCACCAAAAAATAGCTTTTAAAGACACACCTTTTATCTTTACAGATCATTTGAAGAAGACTATGAGACAGATGAAGTCTTATCTCCCTCTGAAACTGGAGACAAGTCAAACTAGTTATCTCAGATCTCTTAGCATAGAGAATGGAAGATGTGTAATCAGTGTCTGTCGAACTGGATAGCAGTCAGTCCCAAGATGCTTAGGGACAGTTAGGGATTTTTCTTAAGTCTGTCATTGGAGCAATGTGTTTTATTTTGTACACTGTAACTTGAAACCCCCTTTTTTTTTTTCTTCTTGTGTAACTGCAATAAGATAATTTCTTTAAAATAGCTTTCTGCAATGTGTTACTGTGCACACATTAAAAATGGTGATTGCACCTTGTTTCCTTTATATCTTTTCATATAAATGTCCCCAGATGTGCAATAAATGCCAGCATCTAATGACAAACTCACAGCTGCGTGCAACATCTACAGCGGTCATTGGTTCAGTCCTGTGCCATTGTGACTCTTTGACTTCACAACAGGAGTGACGGAAGTTGCCAAATTAATTTATACATATATGGCTAGAGATCATTTAAAACACAAATCACAGTGCAGTCCTTGGTTTTGCTGGTGTCCTGAATACCAAAGGCAACATGCCTGCAGACAGGGAGAATGAGGTCCCCTTCTGTGATACAAAGCTCTTGTAGATGGTACCAAACAAATTGTACTTGTATGCATATGTGAACAGTTAAAATGATGTCATGTTTCTCTTAGAATTTATGATACAATTAACGTTTCTGCATATTCTTTTGTGTGTGAGAGGCTCTCCTGTATGAATACCAGTCAGGATAGTGTTTTTTTCTCTGTAGAAGTGTTTTCTAGTATATTTACAAGAGATGCATGCACTGTTCAGCCAGTGTGCTGGAACTGCTGCGTTCTGTGTGCTTCAGTTCTGTTTCTTTCCTGTGCTCTTCCCTTCTCTTGTACTGCTAATCTGTAGCCTTCTGCAAGGGTCTAAGCTGATATCATGAAAATACCTGCCTTACCCGTGTGTGGTAAATTCCTGTTAACAGAGGGATTCTTTACCTGGTAAAGAAAACCTCCAAATATTACTGATTTTTTTTTTTCCACCCATGAAACAGACCTAGATTCAGAGAGAAAGCAGTGTAACTGATGAATTCTTGCTGTAAGTGCAAAATTGAACTGACTTTCCCATGGAATTACAATTGATGTAGAAAGACAGAACCCATTCACTTCATAGACAGATAGCTTGTGGATACACATGCTCACTGTTATCCCAGCGTGTTTGGTGCATAAAAATGCTGCCCAGTGGTACATTCATCCCTAGATGCTATGTCTAAATGTTGCTGTTAGTAACAAGTAAGGAATTGGCTGATCACTACAACCCAGCTTCAACTTTTCCAGGAGCCTTTGAAGTGTCACGCCTGCCTCCCGATGCCCAGGTGGGACATACTGCTGCCTTGCTGAGGTTAGTAACTCTCATCAAGATCAAAATCTGAAAGGGAGGAAGTTATCAGTTACACTGGGCTTGAAGAACTGTTCCCTTCCCCATGAACAATGTTGCTATTTTATCTAGATCCATATACACATCCCAGGATCCTGGATTTTTTCATATATTGGGGGAACTTCTGGATGCCCAGATTCTTAGCAAAGGTACTTTGAGGTCATCTCCATTCTGCAGTGACAGAATGAAGGAGGGGGCACTCTGACCAAGGCAGGATAAGCCCCTTCAAATGCAACGAGCACACAAGAGTAGCTCTGTTCAGCTCCAGGATGTCTGAGTTACATCTCCATCACCACTGTAACCCTTGGAGAAGCTTATGGAATAATTCCACAGAGATCCACGTTCAGAAAAAACATAAATGATTGCAAAAATGAACATAGGATGGAAATCACACAACAGCCAATTAGAACCAGCTCTTTCTACTTCTTTCACCTGAAAGAACCAAGACAAAGCATTTCACCTCTTTTCTTCATTATCTGGACCTGAAGTGGCCTTTTACTCTTCAATAAGATTTTAAATCTCTCCAAAACAAAGATTATTCAAAGGAACAAGAACCTGACCTATTCCAGGATGGAAAGAAAGCAAACAAAGAGGAGTATCCTAAGCCTGGTAAAATCACCTGTTACATTTTTAAGCTTTGGCTTCAGTGAGGCAGACATTCGTGGCTTTTCTTCTGAGCTCTTTCACTCCCAAACCCAAGGATTTCTTTTTTAAAAAACAGGTTCTCTGCTGCTCTAATGACAGTGATTCCATTTGTCCCTTCTAGCAGGGCAACACCGTGACACCAGCCTAAGGAATAAAAAAATAATAAAAAAGAATAAAGGACAACTTAGGGCAGAAGTTTTGCCTCGTACAAGAACAAGCTACAGAAACTGTATGTAGTAACTTATAGCGTTTGCTTTCTGGAAAAGAAATCTGTTCTCTGTCTTACTAATCCATGTGCAGGTAATCATAATTCAGCTGTCACAGATTAATTAGTGAATGAGGTATTTATTCTACGCCCCCTTTGTGTCTTAGCCCTGTCAAAACTTCTCGTGGTAAATTTGGAAATTCTGTCATGCTCCTGGAGTTTCTGTTGTGGTTACAACATCAGAAGATCGGGGTGTTTGGGACTGCAGACACAGTGCCTGCTCCCCTGCAGCACACACCAGCTTCAGAGGCTGTGAAGCTCTCTGAAATGAAGCCAACGAACCCAAGAATTACAGCACAGAACACTCACAGGAACCCACTGCACTCGGGCTTTGCCTCCTGCCTGCAGCTGTCAGTGTCGCTGTAGATGTCGCATACCTTTAAAGACAGCTCTTACGTTTTTCTTTTTGGTTGTAAGTCTATTATGAGCTGGATTCCTTTTGCTAATGAATAGTCAGAAAAGCGACTGCAATTCAGTTCTGCATGATAAAAGAATACGTGTTTGTTTGTCCCCTCTAGTCTGCTTTTGTTTGGCAAAAACAAGTCCCGTGTCCTTAGGAAAAAACCTTATTTTCACATTCACAAATTTCCTCTGCACTGTTGAGACAGGAGATGTGGTTCAATACAACCACGTGCTGGAATGGTACTAGGCTCATTTTGTTCTTTTTCTCTGCAATCTCGGTAGTAATTCCTTCACCACGTTTTTCACCAGCAAGAAGCGCCCAGGCGCTGGCGCAGTTCCCCTTCTGCCGGCCTGCCACCACGCGGCAGTGTTGCAAAACAGACGCGGACAGCGAGAAAGAGGTGGCAGGCAGCCTCAGGTTGTCAGAAAGACTGCAGAAAACCTTTCTGCAATGCTTTCGTGAACTAAGGATGAAAGGAAGCTGACTTGAGAGACTCTGAACAAGGTCCGTGCTTAGTTTCTGAAATAAAATATGCCTGAAAGAACAGGAAGGAAAAGAAGCGTACTTCTGGAGTACGGCACTTCACAGCAGCTGCAGGTCTACGCAATGGAAGTGAACCTCAGTACGGAGCACGTGTTACTGTGAGAAAGAATTCAGCAGTGCGTGGCCTTTCCCTCTGTTCTCTGTATCGCTGGGTGATGGTTCTAGAAACTGAGTATTTAAATAATAAAGGTTCTTATACTTTGTAAAAGTAGTTTTGGATGCGTTTTGTGCTGGTATGGTTTTATCTTTGTATTTCTACTTTGTAATTTCTTCATTTCTTTTTGGCAAATAAAGGACTTCTGAAATGAGGAGGTAAAATCTGTCTCACAGTGTTGGCACAGTGTTACTGTTCACTTCAGCTCCCAGTGCTGTCCCAAACCTGCCGGCCTTATTGCTGCTGAGCTCATCCAGCTGCCTGTCAGCACCCCATGGAGCCAGGAGGCGCAGCTCTGCTGAACACACCGGGGAGAAGCAGCAGGCCCAACACTCACCTTCCTCAGGTCTTCCTCCTCAGCGTGGAGCCCCGCTCCTGTACCAACTTACCAAATTCCTGCGTCCCTCATTTTAATCTTAGAACAGACTTTTCCTGGATCCTCTGCAAGTGGCACAGAGGGGAGAAAGAAAAATATTCTGTTTTCATCGCATGCAAATGCTGAAGTAAAAGTGCCGCATGATCTTCTTACTTTGTGAGACCGGTGGCTGCACCCACACACGTCTGATCTGCGGATTGCACACCTTTTGGTAGTGACCTCTGGTTTCTTTAAAATACCCAAGGCCTTCAGTTATAAAAATGGAGTAGTTAAGACTGGACAAAGACGTGCCTGCAGCACAAGCAGTACCACCTTAACACGTGTGAAGTGTCAGGGTGAATGTTACAGCTGCACCACCTACACCTGAAGTTATTCTGATGTATCCAAAGCTGCTCTTTTTTGTTGTTCCACTTCTCAGGAAGGCATTGCTTATAATCCACCTTTTTATTCTCAACTGTATAAAGATTTAATACATTAAAAATATCTGGGGCATGTGCTTCCATACAGTAAAGAGATGCTTTTATTCTAGATCACATCAGAATTCTTTGCAAGATTTGTGTGCCACGTCTGTATGATCATTTTCTTTAAAATCCATCTGTCTCACCAAACAACAAGCCCCCGCTGTGCTAGCAATACCTGCTTTGAAAGCAGGGCTTTCAGGTTTTATTTCAGACTGCTGGTGTGTCGCAACTCCATAGGCTTCCTTGTGACTATGCAAAATTGACAGTGGTTTTGGAGAGGGGGGAGCTGGCAGCCTTGTTTCTTCTGTCTGAAAACTCCGTGCTGACACAAATTGAAGCAGCTGCAGAAGAAGACATGCTACCTGCCTCCAGTTTCTGACAATGAAACCATACTCAAATGCATGTACAGAACATCCACAGGGAGGTGAGCGTGTTGCAACCTCAGTGTTGACAGGCATTATACATGAGGGTTAGAAATGTCAGAGAGCAAGAACATCACCTGCACAACTGAACTGCCTGCAAGAGCAGCATAAACCAAGTGGTCATTTCCAGTTTTGCTTCCTTGCCCCCTCCTCCCTCCCTCACTCACATAATACATCGAAAGAGCCTTTCCCATTAAAATTAGAAGTTTAAATGTTTTCTTTCTTGAAAAAGCATCTTCCATATGTTCAGACTGAGAAGGCCATAAGCACTATTTTTGTACTGGCACACATCAGAACACAATCCAAAGTCCCCTTCCACAAGAAGCTGTTCTTTCCATCTCTACAGCAGTTTTCAGGCAGGAAGACCACCATAGCAAAGCATACGCTAAAACTATGCTGCTTCTTTCTGACCCAGCTCTGCAGATGGCAGAATTGTATTAAAGCTTGGAAGCTTCACTTTCCTGAGGTGGACTGGGAAGAAAGCTCGAGTGTCACACACTTGCTAAATGAAATCCCCAAGCAGGCTCTTCTGCCAACACAGAGAAGAGTTCCCCCACTGCGCAGCACTACGGGAGGAAGGCCAGGCTGACAGCACCCAGGGAAGTCCTGCCAGCCCAGCCCAGCCAACCCAGGCTGAGCTGTAGCTGGAATCACTGCAAGGGCTCTCTGCCAGCCATTCTCCTGTGCTTCTCCACTGATGGCCAACAGGGTGCAAGCCCTTGCTGTGTGTGATGTTGGTCACTTAACTCCTTTTGACTACAAGCATCGTTGGAAGCTCCCACACCAGCAGGCTGCTGATATCCCTTTTAAAATGGAAAAAAATGCTTTTTCAAACTGGAACCACTGCAATCATTACCAGGAACACTGTGACCCTTTCTGTTGTTCAGTTCATTCAAGAACAACTAGCCAGGAGGTTAAAAAAATGCAACCAACCAAACCTTAATTTAAACAACTACAGAATTAGTCATCGATGAACTAAGCAGTGTGTAGACAGCAAGTTTGAAATATGCCACACCGATGCTCTGAGCAGTTGCAAAATAGAATTAGAAAACTAACATTTATTAAATCAATTTGAATTTTAATACACATTTCAAAAACGTGGCAGCATAAAAAGAAACGTTTTTAGAAACAACCTGAATCTACCATTTGCACTGTTACATTAACGATCAGGGCTCTCCTGTCAACAGTTCCAAAACACACTTGACCTAAACCACCATATTTAATGCAGCAGTGAGATACTAAAGACTCCAAGTACTCCTGCATTTGTGGAGCAAAGGTACTACGCATGTAATTTAATAGAAGTCCTAATAAATGTACCACCAACAATCCCAGCAAAACTTAACAGCTCTGCAAAACCATTCAGAAATAACCCATGCTGTGCATTTTACTCCTCTTAGATCAGACTCCGGTCTGGCAACGTTTCTTACATGTAGTGGACTGGGAAACAGATTTACATCAGTAGGTCACGATCAAACCACCAAGTCAGGAAACGGTAGGATCCTCTTGGGTCAACACAAAAATCACATACAAGTTTAACTAAATACATTTTAATAGGACATCATTAAATCTCATGAGGGCTAGAAAACACACACCTTAGGTACCTGGGTTGGCAAATAAAGACAAGAATACTAAGAAGCATTTTCCACCATTTACTCATTATCAAAAATATTTTTCAACTCTTCTTGCAAAACAAAAACAAAAAAGTACAGACTGGACACATACATCACATTTTTCTTCCTATGGCTTTAACCCCCCACCCTACCCACCCCACAAAAAAGACGGGGGGAGAAACAAACCAAAACCAACAAAAAGATCTGACCACGTCCACAGAAAATGACACCATGGTACACTACAAAACGAAAGGAGGTGCCATTCGTGTCCAAAGGTTTTTGCTTATTTCTTAGGTGAGTAACCATCATTGTACATGCTTTGTGCCAAATCAAAATATACCTAACGTTAGGTCAGCAAGCACTGCAGACTCCATTAGATGAATTAAAGAAAGATGGAAGCAGTTAACTCGAAAAACTCACGTACTATTTAACATGCTGCTGAAACAGGAATCGCCTTTTAAATTAGAAGGTAATGTTGTGTGTTCTAGTCAGCCTGTGCTCAATCTGTGCTCTCTCATTCCAAGAGGAGAAATTTCTGCTTTCACAAAACAACTGCATTTTTCAAGTTGCCAATGGAATCTTAACGACAGGACTAAATGCTTCTGACTGTACTTTTATTTAGGGATTACGATTAAATGAACTTTTTTTATTTTAAATTATCATAAAGCTGAATTCCTATGAAGGTTTTCAATTTCTAACACTTTTTGCAACGAGCTCTCTGACAACTTTTTGTTATTTTTCCGCTTGGGGTCTTTTCAGCCCAAGTCACAAAAACAATGACCTCTGAAAGCTTTCAATATATCACAGAAAAATGTGACGGATTCCGGGTAAATTATACAGCTTCTTGTGTCTAACAAACATCCAAAATATTTGACCTTTGATAGAAATCCATTTTCTGCCCCAGCCAAGAGATCCTGTCAGCAAAGAACTGCCCTCAAAGGAGCTCCCCCAGGTGTGCTGCACTTCGGCTTAAAAAAACAAACATACCCAGCAATGGCAACTGCAGGAGGTATCTGCACACTGCACTCACTGACTGGCAGCACAACAGGGGCAGAGGAAAACCAGCCACGGAGCCCCTCCTCAGAAGCTCACTAAAAAAATACCAGCAGCTCTGTTCTAGAAGCGGCAGCACTAAAATCAGAATCATCAGGAACTGGCAATGAAAGGAAAAAAGGAGAGGGCTGCTAAGGAGGTAGCGCTCCTCAAACTTGAACCTTCTTTGTGCACAAGCAATTTTTCCACTTCAGTCAAAACAGACACACGTCAAACAAATGGAGCTGGCATGGAGGGCATTAACAGATCAGGAGCATGACCAGTGGAACTGGCAGGAAAAAAAAGGGAATGATGGTATTAACGGGGATGGCACACTGGTGACAGTGATTTAACGTTCGTGTCTGAGTAACTCATCTCCCTGACCCTCGGTGGGAGACTGAACTGCTCTGTGGGCTGTTAGCTTTCTCAGATCTTACTGATCTTAATTTGTAACTGCTCCATAATCAATTCTAACAATCAAAATTACCTACCCTTTTCAGACTGTATTCCTCAGCTTAATGCTGCATTTTCTCCAGAAATACTAGGCGATTTTCTGGCAGTAGTGATTGTAACCAATTGATAATTACTTTTCTGCACCATAATCTAGCACAGTTTGCACGGGCTAACTAGATAGCACTTCTCTACGTTTAAGCAGAAGCTTTGACTGAGCACAAAGCATGAGCAAGTACAATGAGGTTAATATTTCTCCTTGCCAAAGATCTTGTGATAAAATCATTTACATCAGCAATTCATCTCAAACTATGAGGTGCTGTAAGAACTAAAAACAGTTTTAGGGTAACTCCTCCATTATCTGCAACTATTTCCCAGACACTAATACACATAACATAGCAATGAAAAACACTTGATACAAGTGATCTAAACGCAGGAGCTCCAGCAAGTTAAACAGAACCATAGCTGCCTTTAAACTGTAGCAGTTCCCCTACTGACGGCAGGGAAAAGAAAAAGATTCAACAGTCATATCTCACGTCTATAGCTTCCTCCAAACTTTTGTCATCGTGTGTACTGGCAGCTAAAAACGTAGTTACTGGTGACCCTGTCACATTGATTACACTGGTGCTTGTGCTGGCATTGCGCACCGCAATGCTTGTCACATTAATGCCCAAAGTAAGCCTAGTCTGCTCCAAGGCCTTTTCTGGCACCGCAAATGCCTCCAGCTTCTTCTCCCCATTAGCCATGTAGGAGTTTTGGCAGCCACGGCATATGCAGTCAAGGCAGGCTTTGCGGTTAGAGTAGCAAGGGCAG